GAATATTTTCCCTACTGCTTTGCAGTATCATCTTTGTCATAAATCAAATGTTCATACATGAGTAGATTTGCTTCTGTGCTTAAGAAATGTTTATTTTATACAGACAATTTTTCTCATGAACTCCATGGTTGCTGGTGGGGGTAAAAAGGAGCAAACTATAACTTTCCAGTCAATTGAATCTGAGTCTCTTCAAGTTTAAATACTACCTTTAGGAATCTCACTTTTTTGGTACGTGTTAGGTGATTGTCTTAGATTTCTTTCTATCCTCTTGGTTTTCCCCAAAATGGTATGTGGCTATATGGGACATGACCTTGCAGTGCCAATAGGTCCTCTGCTTCCCTTTGTGCTTCTTTGTTCTCTACTGCACTAAATCCATCATGGTAGCGTTCTTGGTCTCTTGGGCTGAGGTCTGCTGATGTTTGCATTTTATTTTCTTGTATTAGTCAGAGCCTAAGCTGCAGGCATTTCTTAGTTTGAGACATGCTCTCCTCCCTCCCACAGCCCATGGCTATCCAGCTCACAACCTCTGGAGGAGTCATTTTGCCCATAACCAATGTGGTTCCATGAGAGCACTACAGGTCCTCAGCTCATCTCTTTCCCATGGACTTGCAGTAATTTTGAGGGCCTGTTTTATCACCTAGCAGCCAAGGGAGGCTAAGGAGTGTTCACTCCAGCTCATCTATACCTGCTTATGCAGATCACTTATATTGTGTCAATGCAGCACCTCCTGCACTGATGTGGGGCCATCGTCGGCTCATCCGAGATTTCCAAATGGGGCATATTGCACAAGATACCTTAATGTCTATTATATACTTTCTCCCTGAAATTTGATAGCAGGTGTACTTGTTGATGCCTCCCTCTAAGACATATCTCTTGTAATTGTGCTTCATTTTATTGTGTTGTGCTTTTTACAAATTGACAGCAAGATGTTCCACCAGCAAATAGAATACAACTCACCTTTTTTGCAATAGTCGCTTATCTATGGTGGTCTTGAACAGACTGCGATATCTATGAGGTATGCTGGTATTTCTGTCTTCCTTCTTTCTGCAGTCCACAGATTTCAATGTGCAGGCTTTCCTACTTTCTGTGTGGTAATGACAATCACTGTGTCACAGCCTGAGTTATTTCTATTCATGGCTCAGAGACAGAGATCTAGCCCTTGCTATGTTAATGAGCTTAAATAATTCATAGAATGTTTCTCTTTCACTTTCAATACATTTTCTCTTTCAAAATGTATAGCTTTCAAGACCATTCTCGTGTTAGCAATTTAAAAAATTGAATTTGACAGTCAAAGCTGAGCATGACTTCATTGTTCTAGCTGATGTCAGCCATTTCTTGGGCAGTGAGTCATGGGACTGTATGATTTACAGGATATCAAAGTACATCTGAAAATATTTCCAAAAATATTATCTCCATTACACTATTAAAAAAGAAAAGAAGAAAAAAATTCCATATTTTCCACCTATGCGTGCCAGATGAGTAAAAATAAAAGCTAAGAGGGAAGTCTGGAAACAGAATTGTGAATCTGTCATTTAAGTAAGGATACCTGCATGGGAATTTATTTCGCACATGAAAGCAGCTGCAGAGTTTTAGAGTCCTAATGAAACAGGGAAATCACCTGTATAAATAGATCTGCTGAATTGATTGTGGCAGCGGTAAATATCAACTTATGCATAGGTATGAAATATCACATGGTCCTGTGATCTGCTAAGAAATCTTGCAATGTTAAATATAGTAACTTTAACATATCATGTTCGTTGTAAAACTTTAGAAAAATAGAGATAAAAGTAAAGAAATAAAACTTCCTACAAACCTTACCAGTAGAGATAGTCCTTATTTTTGTGAAGATCAAAGTAATGGCTGAGAATGAGAACTAAAAGAATAGAGAGGCTTCCTCATGCAGAAAAGAGAGCTGTGGATAGGGGAAAATAAGGTATGAACAATTAGCCCGTCCATTGAAATTTGAAAATGTTTACCTAGGAAGTTTACAGGATGAATGGGAAAGAGACTTTGGGGACAATTACCATTTGTAGGAAGGAGAGGACAAAGACTAGGAAAATGAAATTTTGAGAAGTTTTTCTTTTGACTTCTAGTTGCAGTAATGGAGAACCTGGTTCTTTGGAACAGCTCTCCCATTAAGGAATATTACAGAGGCTGCCCCTGCTCTCCAGTTCTATACAAATATTTAAAGACATCACGATGCTGTACTGTATATTTGAAATTGATAAGAGAGTAGATCTTAAAAGTTGTCATAACAAGAAAAAATTTGTATCTATGTATGGCAGCTGATGCCAACTAGGTTTTTTTTTTTTAAATAAATATATTTTATTGATTTTGTACAGAGAGGAAGGGAGAGAGATAGAGAGCTAGAAACATCGATGAGAGAGAGTCATTGATCAGCTGCCTCCTGCAAACTCCCCACCAGGGATATGCCTGCAACCAAGGTACATGCCCTTGACCGGAATCGAACCCGGGTCCCCTCAGTCCCCAAGCCGACGCTCTATCCACTGAGCCAAACCAGTCTTGGCTGATGCCAACTAGGTTTAATGTGGTGGTCATTTTGCATTACATAGTATGTACAAATATTAAATCATTATCTTATACAGTCTACAGAATATAATGTTATATGCCAATTACACCTCAATAAAAAACAAACAAAAAAGACACCACAAATCTAGTAAGTAATGTGAAGAATTATGGAGCTAAGATTTGGGAGAAGATAGAAACCCAGAGAGGCAAGTAAGGAATTTGGGACCACTTTTACCCTAAAGGCCTCTGATAATTCAGGACGAGATGGATGAGAGGCTGCCATTTTGATAGTTTCCAAGAAATAGTTTAAAGTGTTGTTAAAAGTAGAATTTTCTGCCTCTCTTTTATATGAAATTTCTTCTCTACTTGAAATGACCTCCATATTATCCCCTAAATATGTCTGTACTTTTTCTTTCTTCTTTTAAGACTTTATTTTCTTAAGAGCATTTTAGGTTTCCAGCAAAATTGAGGGGAAGGTACAGATATTTCCCATAACCCCTGATCCCAAACATGAGTCACTTGCCCCATTATTAACATCACTCACCAGAATGGTACATCCCCACCCCCCAAGAATGAATGTACATAGACTCATCATTATCACCCAAGTCCACAGTTTACTTCAGGGTTTGTTGTTGATGCTGTCTATGGTTTTGAACAAATGTATAATGACATACACTGAGTGTCCAGATTATTATGATCTCTGAACACATAATAATCTGGCCATTCAGTTTGTGTGTGTGTGTGTGTGTGTGTGTGTGTGTGTGTGTGTATGTGTGTATGTGTGTGTATTAGAGGCCCAGTGCATGAATTCATGCATGGGTGGGGTCCAGCCAGCCTGGCTAGGGGGAGGGGACGTAGGCAGTTGGCCAGCATGCCTGCAGGTCGAACTCCTGGTCAAGGGGAAAATTTGCATATTAGCCTTTTATATTACATAGGACTAGAGGTCCAGTGTACAAAATTTGTGCACGTGTGTGTGTATGTATGTGTGTGTGTGTGTCCCTCAGCTCAGCCTGCACCCTCTCCAGTCTGAGACATCCCTCTCACAATCCAGGACTGCTGTGTCCCAATCACTAGCCTGCCTGCCTGCCCTTACCCGCTTCTGCCTGCCAGCCTGATCACCCCCTAACCATTCCCCTGCCAACCTGATTGACACCTAACTGCTCGCCTGCCAGCCTGATTGCCCTTAACTGCCCTCCTTTGCCAGCCTAGTCACCCCTAACTGCCCTCCCCTGTAGGCCTAGTTCCCCCCCCCCCCCCACAATTGCCCTCCCTGCAGGCCTTGTTCCTCCCAACTGGCCTCCCCTGTGGGCCGTCTTGTGTCTACATGGGAGCAGCCATCTTGTGTGTTTAAGTGATGGTCAATTTGTATATTACCTCTTTATTATATAAGATATACACTGAGTATCCAGATTATTATGTGCTTAGAGATCATAATAATCTGCCCACTTAGTGTATATCCATAATATTGTACAGAGTATTTAATCACCCTAAAAATCATCTGTGCTCTGATTATTCATCTATCTCCTCTCATGCAACTGCCCCAGTAACCATTGATTTTTTTTTATTATCTTCTTACTTCTCCTTTATCAGAATTTTATGCAGTTGAAATCACAGTGTCACCTTTTCAGATTGGTTTCTTTTACTTAGTAATATGTATTTAAGGCTCCTCTATGTATTTTCTTTATTTTTTTGTTAATTCTTACCCGAGGATATTTTTCCACTGATTTTTAGACAGTGTGGAGGGGAGGGAGAGAAAGACAGAAACATTGATTGGTTGCCTTCCATATGTTTCCCCTACCAGGGCTGGGGTAGAGTCTGCAACCAAGGTACATGCTCTTGACTGGAATTGAACCTGGGATCTTTCAGTCCACAAGCCAACTTTCTATTCACTGAGCCAAACCTGTTGGGGCTCCTCCATGTATTTTCATATCTTAGTTCACCCCCCCCCCCCAAGCACTGAATAATATTCCTTTGTATTGATATATCAATGTTTTTATATACATTTACCTACTGAAAGACCTTTTGGATACTTCTAAGTTTTGGCAATAATGAAAAAAGTTTCTATAAACCTATACATGCTGGGTTTTGTGCTGACATAAGTTTTCAACTCCTTTGGGTAGACACCAAGGAGCAAGATTATTGGATTGTATAGTAAAAGTATGTTTAGTTTTGTAAGAAACCACCATACTATCTTCCAAAGTGGCTGTATCATTTTTTATTTCTGCCAGCAATAAGAGCACCTATTGCTTCACATCCTAGCCCATATTTAGTATTGTCAGTGTTCTAGATTTTGGCCATTCTAATAGGCATATAGAGGTATCTCAGTGCTGTTTTAATTTGTATTTCTCTGGCAACATATATTGTGGAGCTCATTTGCTATCAGCATGTCTTCTTTGGTGAGGTATCTATTAAGAGCCTTGGTCATTTTATTGTGTTGTATGAAAGGAGAGAAGGTTAGCACTCCCCTTGACAAGGATGGAAGAGGCTCTCGGGCCTAACAACACGCATACAGTTAAGGCATTGCCACCTACTTCTTGGCATCTAACCACTGTTTTTAAAGAGGTGAAATAACAATAGACCCCACCGAACTACAACGGATTGTTACAAAATACTACGAACAACTCTATTCCAACAAACTGAACAACCTGGAGGAAATGGACATATTCCTAGAAAAATACAAACTTCCAAAACTCAATCAGGAAGAATCTAAAAATCTCAATAGACCAGTGACTTGGGAAGAAATTGAAACAGTCATCAAAAAGCTTCCAGCAAACAAAAGCCCAGGGCCAGATGGCTTCACAGGAGAGTTTTACCAAACATTCAAGGAAGAACTAAAACCTATCCTCCTCAGACTATTCCAAAAAATCCAAGAGGAAGGAACACTTCCAAACTCCTTCTATGAAGCCAGCATCACCCTAATACCAAAACCAGATAAAGATAACTCAATGAAAGAGAATTACAGGCCAATATCCCTCATGAACATAGATGCCAAAATCCTCAACAAAATCCTAGCAAATCGGCTCCAGCAGAGCATCACAAAGATCATACACCACGACCAAGTAGGATTTATTCCAGGAATGCAAGGATGGTACAATATCCGCAAATCAATAAACGTGATACATCACATAAACAAATTGAAAGATAAAAATCATATAGTCATATCAATTGATGCATAAAAAGCATTTGATAAAATTCAACACCCTTTCTTGATAAAAACTCTTAACAAGGTGGGAGTACAAGGATCATACCTCAACATAATAAAAGCTATATATGATAAACCCACAGCCAACATTACACTCAATGGGCAAAAACTAAAACCATTCCCTCTACAAACAGGAACAAGACAGGGTTGCCCACTCTCGCCACTCCTGTTTGACATAGTACTGGAAGTACTAGCCATTGCAATTAGACAAGAGGAGGAAATAAAAGGCATCCAAATTGGAAAAGAAGAAGTAAAGTTATCCTTATTTGCAGATGACATGATATTGTACATAAAAAACCCAAAAGACTCCATTAAAAAACTAATTGACTTAATAAATGAATTTGGCAATGTAGCAGGATACAAAATTAATGCCAAGAAATCCATGGCATTCCTATACACCAACAGTGAAACTACAGAAACAGAGGCTAAAAAAGCAATTCCATTTACCATCGCACCAAAAAAATTAAGATACCTAGGAATAAATTTAACTAAGGAAGTAAAGGACCTATTTGCGGAAAACTACATGACACTGAAAAAAGAGATAGAGGAAGATGTAAGGAGATGGAAGAACATACCATGTTCATAGATTGGTAGGATCAACATCATCAAAATGTCCATACTTCCTAAAGCAATCTATAGGTTCAATGCACTCCCCATTAAAATACCAACGGCATATTTCACTGACCTAGAAAGAACTCTCCAAAAGTTCATTTGGAACAATAAAAAACCCCGAATAGCCACAGCAATCCTGAGAAAGAAGGGTAAAGTAGGAGGGATCTCAATACCAGACTTCAAACTGTATTACAAAGCCACTGTTCTCAAAACAGCCTGGTACTGGCACAAGAACAGACATATAGATCAATGGAATAGAATTGAGAACCCAGATATCAACCCAAATCAATATGCTCAATTAATATTTGACAAAGGAGGCACGAATATACAATGGAGTTAAGACAGTTTCTTCAATAAATGGTGTTGGGAAATTTGGACAGACACATGCAAAAGAATGAAACTAGATCACCAACTTACACCATTCACAAAAATAAACTCAAAATGGATACAGGACTTAAACATCAGACGGGAAACCATAAAAATACTAGAAGCATCCATAGGCAGCAAAATCTCAGACGTATGCCAGAAGAACTTCTTCACTGATACTGCCCCTAGGGCAATGGAAGCTAAAGAGAAAATAAACAAATGGGACTACATCAAAATAAAAAGCTTTTTTACGGCAAAAGAAACCATCAACAAAATAACAAGAAAGCCCACTGTGTGGGAGAACATATTTGCAAATGTTACCACTGATAAAGGTTTAATCTCCAACATTTACAGACAGCTTATACAACTAAAAAAAAGGAAGATGAATGATCCAATTAAAAAATGGGCAATGGACCTAAATAGAATATTTTCAAAAGAAGACAGAAGGAAGGCCAAAAGGCACATGAAAACATGCTCAAAGTCACTAATTGTCCGAGAGGTGCAAATCAAAACAACAATGCGGTACCATCTCACTCCTGTCAGAATGGCCAACATCAACAAATCAACAAACGACAAGTGTTGGCGAGGTTGCGGAGAAAAAGGAACCCTCGTGCACTGCTGGTGGGAATGCAGACTGGTGCAACCACTGTGGAGAACAGTGTGGAGTTTCCTCAAAAAACTGAAAATGGAACTCCCATTTGACCCAGTAATCCCACTTCTAGGAATATATCCCAAGAAACTAGAAACACCAATCAGAAAGGATATATGCACCCCCATGTTCATAGCAGCACAATCTACAATAGCCAGAATTTGGAAACAGCCTAGGTGCCCATCTGCAGATGATTGGATCCAAAAACTATGGTACATCTACTCAATGGAATACTATGCTGCCATAAAAAAGAAGGAATTCTCATCATTTGCAGCAACCTGGATGGAATTGGAGAACATCATGCTGAGTGAAATAAGCCAATCAATGAAAGAGAAACACCACATGACCTCACTCATTTGTGGATGATAACGAACATTATAAATTGATGAACCAAGAGACAGATATAGAGACAGTAAAGCAACAGGCAGACTGTCAAATTACAGTGGGGAGGGGAGGAAGATCTGGGGGAGATAATAGATCAACCGAAGGGCTTGTGTACATGCATATAAGTACAACCAATGGACATAAAACTCTGGGGAGGGAGTGTATGTATGGGAGGGAAGGAGGGGGGCAAAAAAATCAATAAAATATATTAAAAAAAAGAGCTTTGGTCATTTTATTTTATTGCATTTATTGGGGGTGACAGTGGGTAATAAAGTTTTATGGGTGTCAGGTATACAATTCTATAATACATCATTTTTATACTGTATTCTGTGTTCACCACCTCAAATCAAGTTTCCTTCTATCACCATTTATCCTCCCTTTTCCATATTCTATTTCTCTCCACCCCCTATTCATACTGTTGTCTGTGCCTATTTTTTCTGTGTTTAATCTCTTCACCTTTTTACCCAGCTCCCAACCCCTTCCTCTCTGATAATTGTTAATCTGTTCTGTGTATCTTTGAGTCTGTTTCTATTTTGGTAGTTTAAAATATGTTTCTTTTAAATTGACTTTTTTAGAGGGAGAATGGGAAGGAGAGGGAGAGAGAAAGAAACATACATTGCTACTTCCCATGCTCCCTACTGGGGATTGAACCGGCAACATGGGCATGTGATCTGACTGGGAATCAAACCAATGACTTCTTGGTATATGGGATGATGCTCCCAACTGAGCCATACCAGTCAGAGCATAATGTTAGTTATTTTGTTCACTATATTACATTTATAAGTAAAATTATATGATACTTGGTACTTATCTTTTTCTGACTGGCTTATTTCACTTAGCATAATACACTCCAGGCCCATCCATGCTGTCAGATAAGGTAAGATTTCCTCTTTTATATGGCCAACTAATATTGCTCAGCAGTAGTTGAGTAGATAAAAAAGCTGTAGTACATGTACACATTGGCTCATTTTTTAATCATGTTTTTTGTTTCCCTGTTGTTGAGCTTTAAGAGTTCTTTGTGTTTTTTGGATAACAGTCCTTTATTAGATGTGTCTTTTGAAAATCTTTCTCCAAGTCTGTGACTTGCTTTTTAATTCTTTTGATATTCTCTTTTGAAAAGCAGAAGTTTTTATTTTAATGAAGCCAAGCTTATCAATTATTTTTTTTCATGGATCATTTATTTTATATTGTATATTTAAAAAGCATCAACATAGTCAAGGTCATCTAGGTTTTTCACTATGTTTTCTTCTAGGAGTTTTATAGTTTTGTGTTTTACATTTAGGTCTCTGATCCATTTAGAGTTAATTTTTGTGAAGGGTATACTTTCTATAGTTTTCATACTCTTATTGATATCTTCTTCACATTTTGTCTGTTTGAAACTCTCTTTGCCGTTTTGATTTACTATAGATCTTTCTCTTCCATAAAGACTTTTCTTACAATTCTGGCATAGAGTTATTTTTTTTCTTTTGAAACTTCTTAGTGTTTATCTCTAGCACACTTGTGCCATGTGTTTTTTATTCCTAAAAGTTATTTTTGTATAATTATATATATTTTGCAATAAGTAGATAGTACGATCTTGATCCTAGTAGGTAGGTTAATCAATTTGAGTATATGTGTTTACACATTCCCTGAAATGGTGACAGATACTCCTTTTTGCCAGGTTAGCTGACTTTCTTCACTTTCAAACTATTCTAACAGTTGATATTGCCTTTGGAAACTTAATTTTAACAAGAAAGTAAGAGAAGAGAAAATCATAACAAGCTGAGAATTTGTTGAGTGACTGGAGCAAGGAAAATATTTTGCTAGGTGGTGTTAGGGCAAACAAAAATGTGGTGTCTGTCCTCAGGGACTCAGAATCTAGGAGAGCACAGAGTTTACCAAGAATGAAAATTTGTTTTCAGTTATTGCAGCAAGTCAACTATGTTGGTTGGCATTGTGCATAATTAAAAGAAAAACGTATGGGTGCTTGTTCCAAAGGCTTGGTATTGCTCCAACTCTGCATGCAAATGTGAGTAGAATTGGAAATATGAGCAAGTTAGTTTTTATGTGTCTTGCTTTGTGGGTTACTTCTAAAATAATTACTACTACTAAATAAGTAATACAAATTATATTTTATATATAGTTTTGAATTTATAAGTAATACAAATTATAATTTATATATAGTTTCTCTTTTACTGGTATAGTGGTCTCTTTTAGGTTTAAGGACTTTGCATCATCAAATTTAGTGCAGTGATTATTTTCTATTATTATAAAAATATTTAATACAAATTTTAAGAAATAAAAAGATCATACATATTTTAAGAAATAAAAAAAACCTATATGAATTTTTCAAATGTAGT